CAATATTACGCACAGGGCCTGGCATGACCAGCCGATTGATAAGACCGGGCCCATCTTATCACCCGTCTAGGCGAAGTAAGGGTCGAAGTAGTGTGTTGGGCAAAGGAACACAGTTCCAGGAACCAGTGCCCTCAACTACCAGACTCCCGTCCTCCGCCGACACAGGGACGCAACCCACGGCAAACAGGTTGCCCATTTTAGTCGCCTCATACGACCAGCAATGGGAGGCTGTGGAATTATTCTGCCCCGGTTCCACACGGGGGAAGAGCTATTAGCGTTACCCAGCACTCACCACGAGGAGGTTGCTCTTCACGAGTGCCTCTGTAGCTAGAAATGAAACGTTGTGTACATTCCTGCATTATGATATGAACCGAGTGGGCGAGACTCCGTTGTGGGATGCAGGTCTCAAGATTGTCGTAAGAGTGGACTAAAGGGCAGGAGGATCGGTGACCTGTGAGCGTGTGAGAGTGTGAGAGTATGAGAGTGTGAGTATATATATATATATATATGCTGGTACATACAGACTGACTGACAGACACACATACCCAAATGCATACAAAGACACGCACATACATACTGTCATAGCGACTGATTTACGACAACCATTTTCTGAGAAACATTTGATTCCAAAGGCTAATTATCCTGTCCATGTCTCCATAACTTAATTGTCATAATGTGTTAGGCGCTAATCCTCGTTGTTAATCCTCGCCACAATTTCATTGTATATTGACTGTCAACCAACCTGGGCTACTATATCACTTCCTGTTAATTGCTCTTATTTATAGTATGACATTTATTGCCTTTATTGTTCATCCCCTGAGCAATGCGGTTCATCATCCCCAGAAGTCCCATGTCCAGAGCAACGCCATTGTCTGTCCATTGTTGTTCATTACTATATATGTGTTACCATTACATGGTGTTAGTCAAGCTTGGTATTCCGAGTGCTGGTGTAGGGACGACCTCGAGCAGAATGTGCCGCTCGTACGAAACGTCCTGAGGTGAGCTGGAGCTCCGCTCACCTCATGTATGCCTGATCATGATCTGGAAGGCCCGCTCATCGCTGTGTTTGTGTTGTCAGAGCAGGTATTCCGCTCATTGTGCAATTGTTGTTTATTGTTTACATGTTGGGCATAAAGCGTTCCGGGAGAGTGATGTCGATTTTGTCCTTTATTCCCCCAAATGCTAATTCCCCGTCAACTTGTGCGTTGACAATACAAAAACACGCACAAACAGATTGGACCTAACCAAGTTATTTACCTGTCACAGTGACATGCATGTAGCTAAAACATAGCTGAATGCGGCGTTAAACAACATCCACTCAGTCACCATGGTATGAAAAGTGGTGAAAGGATTTACTATTTAGTTATTTTTGTATTCTTCATTTGTGTGATGTTATGCACATCGTTGTTAATGACGTATGGAAAATATTCATATTGGATCCATAGTCTTTGTTCATTTTGGAATGCCATTAACAATATGATCATTGGTTCAAATCCCAGATTCACCCTGATTCCAATTCCGGGGATCGTGGGTTTCACATCTCTCGCACTACGCTGACCCGCGGTTACTGAAATACTGTACCGAGCTGGGTTAAACTCACTTACTATGCAAAATAAGCCTGTTATTAATAATTGTCGTGGACTTATCGCGGTTTGGAATACATCGTGAATCTCATCATATCATCCAAGCATTTGATATACCTCAATGATCCAACGTCAGTATTTCCATCTTGACCGATTTAAGGTCTACACAGTCAAAGTCTTTGCATTGTGCTTATACATTTAATGTGGTTACAAAGTGATGCCCTGGCTCTTTGCATGTACATGAGCTCAACCACATACATGTTATATCCTAGGGACACCCAAACAGTTATATTTTAATTCGGTATTACTTCAGTTTAGATGAGCACTTGATGCACAGTTGCAATTCCCTGTTTAGAGGTGCATTCCTTCCGTTCGACTGCCAGATTCGCCCTGATTTCTAGGCAATGTATCAATGTTTCATAAAAGTGGTAAACGCATAAGACCTGCAGCATCAATTTGTTCTTCGGACACATGGAGGTGAAATGCTGAGATACTAATTAAAATGAAGCCAAACTAACATACAAGAGTAGATGATTATCTTAAGGTGTCTCATAATGTACACACACCCTCCACACAGACACCACACACACACACCTCCACACAAACACCACACACACACCACACTCCTCCGAACACACCACACACAAACAACACACACTCCACCGAACTCTACACACAACATACACACAACAATACTCCACACAGACACCACATACACACCACACTCTTCCGAACACACCACACACACACAACACACACTCCACCGAACTCTACACACAACATACACACAACAATACTCCACACACCACAACACACAGACACCACTCACACAACACACTCCTCCGAACTCTACACACAACATACACACAACAATACTCCACACACACCACACATCACAACACACAACATATATACATGGGTTTCAGGATGTAAGACAGTGTCAAGAGATAAACAACATGTGATAAAACTATGTATATCCAAAAAATGTTGTCAAACAGGATCTTGGATATTCATTCATGCAAGACGACAAACATCCAGTCACAGAGTAAATGGAAATTGAAATCCACACGTGAGTGTCGCAGCGTTACTGCAAGAACCTCAAATAAATCTAACCTTCAATCAGTATGGTTGTGAGAGAAGAAGTGATTATTATACGATGTTGTGTTAAACAATCATTTGTCTAAAATATCTATATATAGTAATAACGCGGTGAATTGTGATAATATAACACTGAGGTGACCGGCCAAACAGAATGTGGTAAATCCCAGTGAGTGTACCCAAGTGAATTGTAATAAAAACTGCTGTAACATGCAAACACTTCTTGCGGTAGTTACGCTACCATGTCCTATTCATTCTGACTCAAGATATCTTCAGTTAGGCAAGGCCTGTCACATTATGTAAGTGTACATATGGAATGACAACCAAGGAATTCTTACTCTAGAATTGTTATAATACAAGTCTGTCCTATTATTATTATTTTACAGAATATTACCTCAGATGAGTTTGTTAGAATGATTCTTTAGGGATTGCGCAGCGATGACAAAGCTCAAACTAGTGATGAAGACAGATATTTGTGGAGGTAGGAAAATGCATGTACGGAATGGACACTTAGAGTGACCCTCATCAAAGTGTGACGGGTTGTGTGCTTAGCTTGCCATTAAAGACTTCCGTTATGTAAAATAGCAAATTTCGTAGTCTAATATCCTTGTGAATATAGATCTGCCTTGTCACGTATTGAAGGTGAAATGGGGTTTAACGTCGCGTCCAACATTATTCCACTTTTCGTGAGGTGCATGCATGTCTGTGTTTGTGTGTAAGACACAACACACTGACTCCAAACCGACAAGTCCTTGTTTTAGCCCTTTAATGGTGAGCTCCAGTCAGGGCAACAACAAGTACCACTTTTAAATGTCTTTTGATGTGACCCCCAAACCCCCGACCTTCCGTTCTCCGGGCGGACGCTCTACCTGTAGTCCACGGATGAGGTCTTCCTGTTCAATAAATCCACAATACGTACACTAAATGCCTCACAATGGACAATGTTTTGAAAAGACACGGTCGATAAATACGAAGCTAGACCCGCTCTCTGTCCTATTACATACAGCTCCAGATTTGTGTTTATGCATTCAATTAGCGTGGAATAAGTTACGAGACCCATTTTGTCACAAGCTGAGCTTGCCTCAATAATCATATATTTCGAAAATTAATTTACTATATGCTTCAATATATACTGTAACGTAACTACATATAAGTTTAGGGCGGTCGGGCAGCCTTGTGGTTAAAACGTTCGCTCGTCACGACGAAGACCTGGGTTCGATTCCCGACATGGGTACAATGTGTTAAGCCCATTTCTGGTTTCCCCCGCCGTGATATTGCTGGAATATTGCTAAAAGCGGCGTAAAGCCATACTCACTCACTTACTCACGTATGTTTAAGTTTACTGGATGATTGTATTGGAGGTACATGTGCAGCCCTCTCTTGCTTACTGTACAATATTAAACAATAATGTTGGCACGATTTCAAATTTCCTAGACACTGGCACAGCATTGTGTCCATTGGTTGATTGATTGATCAAAGCTGTAATCGTCAGAGCCCTGCATCACTTCAAATATATATACATCACTTGATGCCCGTCACGCGGGATTTCGAACATTCTAAACGATTGATTGATTGAGCATGTTTGAGCTTGTTTGTTCTTGCTTGAGCTTGTTTGAGCTTGTTCGTTTGTTTGTTCAAAGTGGCAATCGTCTAAGACCTGTATTACTTTGGGCGTACGTTTGGTAGGATTTCGTTGTAAACATTTATGAATGAAAAAAGTAGTTCCGCATTCCGATGAGCATTCGCGACTCGTGCCCCTCTCGTGGCCATTTTTGCGACCGTTTCCGTCTTAGCGCAAACGGGCATACCTAAAACAATTGTCAACTCGTTCCTTAATGGTTCACATATATTTCTCCATATATAATATGTATTTCAGATGCAATTTAAAACCCATCGGGACATACAAAATTGAACAGTGTGATTGAACACATTTAACTGTGTTTTCGGTATATCTTTTGATGCAAGACATATGCAAAATCAAAAATTATTTCTGAGGGATTCTTTGACGAAGAACTTGAAATCAAACGCGCAATTTTATTGGTTTATCGTATTTTCGCACATAACATTCATCGATAGGGGGACGAGTCTTCTTAAGCTTGTAGGTTACGGAAAGGGGCGAGTGGTGACGAATGGATGCGTGAAAACAACAACTGTGGCGTTGTCGTCGGCAGCGGCAGAGCACAAGGTTTAGCAATCACAATAAGTAGGCCCTCTTACAGGGGTCTCTAGACTACTCTTTTTACCCTCAGCAAGATTGCCACGCAACTCAGATGTAACTATTGCAACAATGTAACTATTTTTACTTGTGGCCTGTTCCAGTGTATGGGCAGTGTAATGAAGCTCTTGGACTTGAAAGTGGCATCGTAGAGGATAGCCAAATAACAGCCTCATCTTCTCCGTATGTAAACCGCCCGCCGTCTACAGCAAGACTTCGTGGTCAATGTAAGGATAAGTATTTTGTCAATCTTCACAATTACATGTATTATATTATAGTATAATCTGAATGATAGCCTTGAGACTGGTATATATGATTTTTCAATCATGTAATTTGTATTAATATACATAAAAGTAATTAAATATGCATGCATTTCACATAAAAACAGTTGATTTTTGTGTGTATACCTTTTCATTTGGCTATGAGAACGATTTCGAAAGTCCTGCATGTACCTATGCTCAACACGAAGCATGAAAGTAAAACCTTTAATTTCACGTTTTGACTTGTCAGATGGATGGGTTCCTCGGTCCACAAAAGATTACTTGAAAATTGACTTCCTGGACTATAGGAAGATAACTGGACTCTCTGTACAGGGAGCCCTCCGCAGAGCGATAAAAGCGTTGTCGCTTTTCTACAGCTTGGATGGACTTGTATGGGAAACATACAAAGATAACCATGGCAACGAATATATTGACGTTTCATCCGAATCCTGGTTCGATGTTGTTAGAACAGAACTGGATTCGCCAGTTAAAGTACGTAGTTGAACTGGACACAAACCCATTTACACAATACATGTATATAGACATACAGAGTGGGGGGTATTTACTGCTGGGTATGAGGGATTGTGCATACATTAAGAAAAAATGCTGTTAAATGTTAATCATGTGTAAAATGTCACTGAACACATTTATTAAAAATCAATATCTGCTTGAAGAAATATACGAAGATATATAGCACATGTACGAAACAGTGTTTTTACTAAGAACTGAAAGATGATTTCATAGTTTGTTTAACTGATGGCATCCTGGCATCTACTCATTTGCATTAATAGATTAAATGGTATAATATAATACATTGTTTATAACCTAGTAGTTATCATTGTTCGTTATGCGTGTTTAGGCGAGATATGTTGCCATCAGCTCGAGATCTGCCTACTCTGGTGTACGCCTTGAGGTTTATGGATGCAACACCTCTGTTGACCAGGGAGACCCTACAGTGATAAACAGCGATATAAGGGTACGCTATTACTTCCTGAGTATATGGCACAGTTGAATTTAAACATTCCCTTTCACATATTTAGTTGGTAAAGAAAATATGTTCATTAATTTTATGGTATCATTGAGCACATTTTAGATCGAAAATCACGAATTAATAGAATTCTTAACACTGCAACATTCAGTTATCCGTATGTAACTGATCTTATATGAATATATATTACTTTTCCCTACTTATATTCATGATAATGGTAATAGGATGCAGCGTTATAAGTGAGCGATCATAGCCCTTATGCAACAATATTTACTGATCCAAATAGAAAAGACTTGATGGGACTTATCTGTATGTTTGTTTTCAGGGTAACACTATATGGACAACACGTGGGAGTCCATACGTCCTCAGTGTCCAGGTCACTGTTCGCCCTTCTACTCATCTACAAATTCAGCCTGGAGTCATGGTTATTTTCAATGCAACCGATGCTGGTATCCTCATTCGTGGTATGATATTTTGGTTTCATGATCGGTACTGCGCAAGAAAGAAACCTTTGATGGAGTGATAACTTATTTGACTTCATCGTCGTTAAAACTACTTTAAATACAGCAGAAACTAAAACATGATCTGTAATTTAAATTGGTATCGTCATGATCAGGGAATACGGAAAAAATATTCATACAAACAACATAACTTTGCATAATTATATTTACTGCTATTTTAAAGAACAGTAATATCTCGAGCCTTACACATGGACACTCAGGTAGTTTGTTGACAGGCAGTCATGATATAATACCAAGTTCTTTTCATTTCATCATAAGGAAACATTAAACCTACACATAACATGTGTGCATCAGTGAGTTTGGAATATCAATCCAACATTCTGATTTCTTTTTTCTTAGTTTAACTAATCAACCAGTTTGTGTGCAGTGATAATTATTCTACCAAACGCGAGTATTCTATCTTATTTATGTTTACATGATGATGTACATGTTCATTAATTGGACAATTGATGCTATTCATATGATACGCCATTAATTGCGGAGAAAAACTAATCAGCATCTATATTTTCATTCAAGGTTCACTGACTGCGGCTGGGATTCAAGGCCTGCCCATATCGTTCTGGTCCAGTGACGTTCCTACTGCAGCACAAACTCTTTGGCAAGGTCTTAGAACAGAACAAACAGGTACAGGGATACTGTATGCTACCAATTTTGATGGTTGTAAAAAAATCGTGTAGCAGCAAGTACTCACACACACAGAATACACACACACACACACACACACACACACACACACACACACACACACACAAACGTACATTTGTTACTGTATTTAAAAATGTAAATGTGTTAGGTGTAGATAATATCCAGAAGCCAAGAAACTATCAAGTTATTCCCTCTTTACAAACATCTTCTGTGGAGAGCAATACTTATTAAATGTAACACTCAAAACTTTTCGAATTGCACTTGCAAGATTCAGATGTGGTTCACGCGAACTATTTATCGAGACGGAAAGATATATGGGAGTCAGAGACAGACACAGACTTTATCAGTTTCATGATTTAAACACTGTAGAAAGTGCATACCATTGCTTACTCCTTTGTCCGTTGTATGCTGAACTCAGAAAACAGTTCATTGATAAACATTATATCTGTTATCCTTGTTAACAGAAATTTGTTTCGTTAATGTCAATTAAGAATGTAGTAATAACGAAAAAACTGGCAATGTACATATTGCAAGCTATGAAGCTAAGAAGTTCTAAATATGTTACCTTATAACTGTATATACACCTATGACTATATAACGTACTATAGGCCTATGCCCTCTCAGTAAACACGTATCGATATTGATGAGAAGATGAGTATGTTTTGATAGCTTATATGACTAAACTTTGAATATCGAAAATATATTTTCTTTATGTTTTCTTTATTTCTTCCAGGTGTATTTTCCTGCGACTTTTGCACAATAAGACATGCCAAAGTGGGTGTAATGGGGCCACCGGACTCTATGTCCCTCAACAACACAACAGTTTACTTGAACTCAAATGGCATAATTTTAACAAATGGAGGTTCTGGAACAAAATCATTTCACCGGCTTCAAATATCACAAAGTTCGAATAATGGTTTAATCGTATCTAGTGATTGGGTATCACGAAGTGGACTTTTCTTTGAGGGGTGTACTTTTCAACAAAATGGCAAAAATGCATTGTTGCTATCAAGCCCGTGTGACGTTGAGTTGGTTCGATGTAACGTTAGATCCAATGGAGATTCAGGAATAGCATCCGGAGATGAAGGTTTTAGGTTGACCGTCATCGAGAGTAACATTACGGGGAATTCCCAGTTTGGCTTATATCTGTTTCACTCTGGATATGTGAACATAGAATCATCTCATGTTGACAACAACAGAGTAGGACTATCGAGAAGTAGTGCTGGGATAACTTTACTCCAAAACTCAAAATTCAGATTCAATTCAAATGAAGGAATTAACATTGATATAAGGTTAAACGGAATCCTCAATATCTCTTCATGTATTTTTGAACGCAACAAGCATGGCCTTCGTGTGAATGCCTACGTGAACAGAATCAATAGTCTTGTGAGAATTACGGACTGTGAATTCACAAAGAATACCTACGCAGGTGTATATGTAAAGTCTGATACGTACAGCCACACTTTTAACATATCGCTCACTTACAACAAATTTCAAGGTGATGTAACCAATAGCAAAGCCTATGCAATATATGTCTCTCTTAGAGATTTACTCGGAAGCAGGTTTGCTTCTGTAAATATCATAGGCAACAACATGACATATTTTGGAGATTCCAGCGATATAATTGCGTATGAAGGTAATACATATTCGAACTATGCAAAGATACCTATCAACGTCTCTGAAAATAGTTTTGAAGACTCCTTTGGGAGCTACGCATTGTACCTATATGCTGATGGAGCTGCCATTGCGCACAATGTATTTAGAAATAGTTCACGTGTAGGTTCTTTGAAACTGACGGGATCAAACAGCAGAATATACAGAAATGTATTTGAAACTCCAAACTCAACATATGACCTAATTACATACGCGCTTTATGATGATCAAACTGTCGTTGATGCTAGTCGAAACTACTGGGGTATCACAGACAAAAGGGGAATCCGTTCACGGATATACGATGTGTATTATAACATCAGCAGAGCTGAGATACAGATTGACCCATACTTCACATCCAAGTCGATGGAGATGACTTCAAGTGGGACGACCATCTTCACCGACAACGACCCCTCTGACGTTGGAGGCGTGCTGCAGGGTGACGTTCTTCTTCATCCAGATCAGAGTCTGGTGGTGAAGAGAACTATTGTAGTACCTGAAGGAAACACGCTGACCATCATGCCAAATGTCACACTTTCATTCCATGGAGCCCAAGGTGTCATAGTTAAAGGTAAATATATATGCCATGTTGAAATCAGCAGTAACTGTCAGGTCAGCGTGTAATGTTTAATGCTGTAATACAGAAGATAACTTATGAAGGAGAGCGTGTTTACGAGGACGAAAACGAAATTTTCGAGGAACGAAATTGCATATCAGTTAAGAAAATCTGTCTTCACAGGTTCACTGAAAATTAATGGATCATCAACTGGACTTGTGATTTTACAAAATGGCACCAAAAGCAGATGGGGAGGTGTGATGCTCACGAGTAGCAGTAAGTAAATGTACATTGATACAAACAATGGTCACTCTTTCAGTTCTGTGTTTTCGCATGTCAATCATAAATAAACCCAATGATTATAAAACATGATAACCCTTACTGTTCTGGATTAGTTTCTGAAAGCACTGCAACCTAATAAATGAACCATTACAATCTTGAGTATCCTTCATTGTAGATCTGGAAATAACCCATGGAGTACTGAAAGCAGCAAGAACAATTGCAAGTGTCCGAAATACAAACTGTTCCGTGTACCTGGCATTTTCCCTCTCACATAGCTCTGTTGAAATTGATACTCTAACCTTACGATCTCACCGCGTCAATGTAACCATATCAAAGTCTCAGTTAGTTACATCAAAGAATGATATAACGTTGTCAACGTGTCCAGGGGCGTCAACAAAGAATGAATATGGAAATATTTTATTGGAGAACTCTGAATTCACCTCCAGTTTCAGGGCAACCGGGTCTGTTTTTCATACAGGTGGTATTTTATGTGAATCAGCACAAACCTTGACCACTGTAATGTTTCTGAACAACACGTTCAACGTAGAAGAGGGGCGCGTATTCAGGATAAAAGGTCAATATTTAGATGTTGAAGTGGTTAATAATTCCTTTTATGCTCCATCAGGAACTGCTAATATAGATCTTAGCGGCGATGCTCCCAACAGGGTTTTTATAAGGGAAAACAATTTTAATGTTGGGAATATGGAACTCAAATCTCAACAATCTCTCAATGAGAAGATGAATATAACCATGAACGTGTTCAAGTTTTGTCTGCTTATTTTGAAGACGCCCGATGTTATTATTAGACACAATGTGTTTGAAACCAATTTAGTCTACTTTATAAAATTCGCCAGTAAGGATTTCAGAAATACCGTAATCAACGCAAGCAACAACTATTGGGGAAAGGACAAATTTTCAGAAATCAAAGTAAAGATATATGACAAGTCTAACGATGTGGCCTTACCTGAAATATCAATCATGCCATTCTTCAAAGATAGAGAAATGCTAGAACTTGTGGAGACTACACCTTTTCTCGACTCAAACGGAACATTAGGTGGGGCTGTTGATGGAACCTTTACACTAACCAGAGCACAAAGTCCATACACTGTCCTGAGTAACATTATTGTTGGCAGAGAAGACACTCTGATAATAGATGCTGGCGTACAACTTCTGTTTAAAGACAGCGTTGGAATGCGAGTTGAAGGTATGGAGGCTATACTTATCATATTCGATCATACTGTTTATGTTGGAAAACTGTTTTTCGATTCTTGGTACTGTTTTGCCATGGAATATTTGATAACGCTAACCTTAAACGCGATAGATATGTCCATGTTCATTGTAAAGTCTTTGTTTAGGGAATCTCTATGTTAGAGGATCGAGAGATATGCCTGTTCGATTCCACCCGGCCAACGCAGGTATACCCTGGGAGGGAGTGAACGTGACAGGACAACCACGTAAGTGTAACCAAACTGTTGTAAATAAAACGTAAAAATACTAGCATATAATATTTTCCTAGATTCCTGAGGATATACCGTAAACGCTCGAGAGTACGAACACCGTTAATAATCCAGACACGTTATATTAAGGACACATTACACATTACTTTGCAGCCATGGTTCGTTAATTTGAACATTTACACTAGGAATGATATCATCTGGATTGCCGAGGTTTCACTTCACGTGTTGAATATATACTTCTTAAACTTTTAGGGATCGTACGGTTTGCTGGTGGTACTGATGAGCGCGAAGGAAGAGTCGAGGTTCTGGTTGGAAGTACATACAGCACTATCTGTCATGATGACTTTGATATCCGTGATGCAAATGTGGTTTGCAGAATGGCAGGCTTTGAGTATGTATTTTACTGTTACAGTCCCGCTGTTCGTCGTCATAAGCATTGCTAAAGAAACTGAATTCCTGTTGATGTTATATCAAGTTCATCCTTCTTTATATTTATATTGCAATTACATGTTATCTTAACATATGGTACCAATTAGTCTATCGATGCTCTGCGCTGTAATTGTAGTAATGTATAACTATTGTTTGTTTCCTTTTTTTAGTCCTGAAGGTGGTGTGAAGTATTATGCTTATTCAAAATTTGGAGGTGGTTCAGGGGAAATCAAATATACAGAGTTACACTGTGTGGGCAACGAATCACATGTTGACGAGTGTATCAACAAAAGAACGGGATGTTATCATTTCGAAGATATCAGCGTCAGATGCTTGGGGAATTATCTCAAAGGTATATTAAGCATTTAAGTACTCTTCACGACCCATCAGTCCCGTAAAGATCCGGTTTAGCAGCCCATGCTTGCCGTAAAAGGTAACTGTGCTTGCCGTAGGAGACGACTAACGTGATCGGGTGGTCAGGCTTGCTGACTTGGTTGAAGCATGTCATCGGATCCCAATTGCGTAGATTGATGTTCCTGATGTCAATCACTGGATTGTCTGGTCCATACTTTATTATTTTCAGACCGCCGTCATCTAGTTGGAATATTGCTGAATGCGGCGTTAGACCACCAACAAACAAACCAATCAGAACCCATGACGTAATTCTTCATGTACCTTTCTGATATCATATTAAACTTGAATTCTTTGTTTTTCAGCTCCCACCCCTGATACCCAGCTTGAATATCTAGAGATAAATGACACACTTGAAGGAATAGTTTTAGATGGGAATATCACTACAATATCAAATGTGAAGTCCTTCTTCTCAAAGGCCAGTGGCTTTACTCTCTCCGAGTATGGGACATCCCTGCCCATCATGGTGGGCATAGAATCATCTTTCAATGGTTTGCATGGTATTACTATACGCGGCATAAATAAACACACCAGACTGACTGTGGTTGGTTGTGTGCTATCTGGAAATGGAAAGTATGGGCTATATTTATCAGCATATGGCCTCGTAACGCTGAACAACTGTACTGTTGCAGGGAATCAAATTGGGATGGGTTCCGAATTTTCCTTGTATTTAGATATAGCCTTAACAAACAGTGTTGTGAAATATAACAAAAGGTATGCTATATATCTATTTTCTGGGTTAAGCGGCGACCAGGGAGAAGTGCGACTGAGTATCCTGAGAAGCAGTTTGATAGAACATGACACACGATACAAAAACTATAAATGGGAGACACGTTTTTACTTCAGAAGCGTTATCTATATGGGGGGATTTTCCATCACACCTGGGAGCTTACTATTTGAAGAAAATGTATTTAATGGCAACATGGCAGATGTATTTGAATTCGACTATTACCTTATCAAAGCACGAATGTCATTGTTCATTGCTAACAATACCTATATTAATAACACAGGCCAGATTCTCAGTATAAAATTAAACAGTTACGAAGGAAATAATGTAAATATAACAACAAATATATTCAACAATAACAAAGCCTTTAAAAGTAGTGCTCCTATGATAGGAATAACTGATATACAACCCCATTCAGTGATAGACATCTCTGGAAACATGTTCATGAACAATAGTGCTTCAAGTATAATTCATATGCCAAAAGATGACAGTACATTTTCAAACATTAAAATCCATAACAATTCAATGGTTCACAACCAAGTTACCAATGTCCTTCTTATTGAAATATACGAAACAGAGATTCACAACAATTCCTTCTTCAATCCAACTGCATTGTGTGAGCTTAAGGTGGCCCCATTCAAGAAAGATCGCGAGCATGATGCTAGATGGAACTTTTGGGGATTCACTGAACTCTCACAAATCAAAGACAGAATATGTGGATTTGACGTCAATATGGAGTTAGGATTTGTGTCGTACATACCTTATTTATTATCTAATACAACCATGTCTGAGGCCAGAGTGCGGCCGACTGATTTCTTTGAGATGGGAGCAGTTGGTGGGGTTGTGGAGGAGGAGTTAACTCTGGACGGACGGTCCGAACCATACATCATCGAGAGGTCAATAATGATCAGGTACGTCTGGGAATCTTGTCTTATTTGCGTTGAGTGACTGCACAAATTAGTAAGATAGAACAACCAATTCGATACCAGTGTGCGTTAACAGGATAAAAAATACCCTTTAGTCTTGTAATCTCAAGACCAAAAGATGATGTCTCAGAGAATGTCATGAGCGTAATATATATTTGTTTTTAATTACTTAGTAAAGATAATTGTAGATTTTACTTAAACTAATCCCTGAATGCAGTTGTAAAACAGCCTTGTTTTATGTGCCAGATTTGACTCAAAATCTTTCAAAAATCCTTAAGGTACAGTGCGCTTTATTATCAGTCCTGAATAGACACGCCTGCTTGATACGTATAGGAATGTTCAGCGTATCAAACAAGATAGTTATTTGATATCCTTCATCATTATTACAGAAGAGGAGGAAAACTTGCTATTCACGCTGGAGTTAAGCTTCTCTTCATGAAAAAGAGAGGCATTTATACCTCTGGTGAGTGACCAAGCCCTGTTGCTATTTGACCTCAAGCTTCATACATCACCTGAACCTTTCCTCCTGTCCTATTCTCCATATAATGCATTCAGTATGATTTAAAATATATAAATTATTGAAAGCATGAAACGTTTATCAGATTATCTTTTGGCAAACTATATTGACTTCTGTGAAATGTTATTCTGTGTGAAATAGGTACCTTTTGCTGTCAAACTATGTCATATAGTTTAAGATGCTTGTGTGAGCCTACAGAAACAATGTATGCATCTCGTTCATTCACTAGGATCTGTAGAGACCCTATCATCCAGCTCAGAGAGAATTGTCCTCGGGAATCATACTGATGACCCCTGGCATGGAATCGTTTTTGCTCACACATCAGGTAATATCGTTATCAATCGACTGTGGTATACTGCATCTCCATCTACATCTGCATGCAAACCTGTACATTCCTGTTGTGATATACATATGTATGCAAGAAAAACAAATGTAAATATTGAACGTCTTTTATATAGAAATCTTATTTTGACAGGATAAATAATAATGTATCATACAATAAATTCATTCATGATTTTAAGTGTTCAGATACATTATTTCTGTCAATGTGTGCTAAATAGGATTTTTTCATTTCAGGGATCATTTTACGAAATGTCAATATAACTGGATCACTTTATGGCTTGGTGACCTATACAGACAACATGACACTGTCTGACTGCAGTATCGCTCACACAGGGAGATCTGGGATGACGATTGGGTCTGGTGTAACAATGGTGAACCTGGGGCGAACTGCTATTATTAAAAGTAAAAGCTATGGTATCATGATCCACTCAAATGCATTACTGTTACGTAATGGATTTGTGCACAACAATGCCTTGAGCGGAATTTACCATAATGGCGAAACAGGAAGTATTTTCCTGGAGGAAATGGAAATATTCAACAATGGGGAATATGGTGTTTACGTGAACATGGACTCTTTCAGTGGAAATCATCATATTAGGCTAAGTAACAGCTTTCTTCATGATCATAATAACAAGCCTGCAATTCGCCTGATATCATCAAGATACTATGACGGCTACTCAAACATAACAGTGGGCGATTGCATCTTCGACAACAATTATGGATCAGCTCAAATTTCAGCAGTTGGAGACGCTCACTGGAATGACAGAAAAAAAGTTATTATGAGTTCAAATACGTTCAGAGGTCATTCCACTGTTGCAATTGTCACCACCGGTTTTAGTGAGGTATTGGTTACGGACAACAGGGCAAACAATGCCACGTCATATTCAAAATGTTTATTTGAAATAGACTTGAAGACGGGATCATGGAGCAGTCAAACTTTAGCATTATCAGTCAGATCCAACCTAATCAGTCATGTATCTGGTCTGTGCGCATTTTCTTTATCAGCGTTTAAAATCTCAAGTGGATCCTTCTTGTTTAACCAGATATCACAATCAACTTTTACTGAAGGGACACTCATTCTTAATCTAGAAAATTATACATTATCTGAGAACATTTTCGATAATCCAAGTTCTGACTATGAGTTGAAAGTTACTAAACTTGGCAGTGGCTATATAAATGCTACACATAACTGGTGGGGGACGACTGACGAAGTTTTGGTCGAAGATAAAATTGTGGAACGATCTGCTGATCCAAGGCTCTTGAATGTGATACATCTACCAATATCAGTAAACCAGGCATTTGACTGTTCACAAGTGAGCAATTGCAGTGGCAAAGGAGAATGTGTTCGACCAAATGGATGTAGCTGTCTCAGTGGATGGAAGGGGACGGACTGTACTGAGTTTGACTGTTCAGACCTCAGTGAATGTAATGGTGGAAGGTGTGTCGGACCCAACCTCTGCGAGTGTGCTGATGGATGGACTGGGAACGCGTGTGCTGTTGCTACCTGCTACCTGACCAATAACTGTTCTGGGAGAGGGTTCTGTGGAGAGCCGGATGAATGCACTTGTCTTTCCCAGTACAGAGGAACATCATGTGAGTCCTGTGCACCAAACACATGGGGTCGAAACTGTGCACCATGTCCTAAGTGTCTACATGGCTCATGTGATACACAAACAGGTACGTTAAAGCAGCCTTTGTTTTTCAATTTACTACATACAATCGAACATCGTTGTGTCGAACTCGAATTATCCGCGATTCAACACATCACGGGAGTGTTAATGCTTAATTTGGATACTCTGGACTCCCAAATGAGTTTGAGACTACCTGGAATTCGACACATCCAAGTTCAGCACAGGGAGGTTTATAGTTTAAAACTATATTATGACCCTCACTACCGGCACATACTAAAGACACATTTTGATCTCCCGCCTTTAATTAGTATCAGAGGCATCAATGTATTTGATTAAACATCGACTGACATAAACAATATTTAACGAGTTTGATCATTTTGCCAGTTACCATTTTCCATCATATAATAAATCCTGTTTTGCTTGTATGAAATTCAAGTTTTACTTATCCATTCTGACCAAAGTGTTGTACCTTGTGACCTCACGTATCAACAGAAAAGCCATCGAATACCCCCTTTGATTTGGACAAAACTGTTCGCAGCAAAATTGTGTGGATCAACAAACTTCTAGGTTTATGTTACCTTTGATTGAACAGCAACACTGTTTCCGTTTGTTGAAGGAACCTGTATTTGTGAGAGTTCTAATTGGACTGGCAACCTCTGTGCCCAATGCAGTGAAACATTCTACGGACCAGATTGCCTGCCTCTGCCAACTGTACTGAGCGTGTCCCCTGATGCAGGACCAGACGTGGGAGGAACGCCTGTCCATATAAGGGGACATAACTTCAAGTTCTCAAACACCAGCAACTACAAATGCAAGTTTGGAGCAGTAACCGTAGCTGCAACGAGGATTAGCAGACAACATTTCACGTGTACTCCACCTAAACTAAGCCAAAGAACAGTACATGTTGAGATAAGTTCAGACGGAGTGCACTTCACAAGCAATAAGGTAATGCATTTGAAGAGCTTGAAAGATTCACTAAATCATTGTAACACGTTAGGCAGCTTATATCATTTAGTTTATATACTTTAAGGCAATACACTTTAATTGTATTTTGCTAGATTAAGATCATCTGATAATGCCTAAATGAATATGCTTTTAAGTCTGCTCAGAATTGATGTTTTTATGTTACTTTCTTAGCTTTGGTTCAAACGTGTGTCTAATTTATTGTTCTTATAGCTCCGATCTGACATCATTTTCCTTCAATAATAGGTTTCTTACACATTTGTTGTGCAATGTCCAACAACGGCTTGTGGCAGTACAGACAGTCCACCTCATGGTCAATGCCTGTTTGGACAATGCACATGTACTCTCCCTTGGACAGGGGATTCATGTTCGGTAGAGGCCGTACCGCCAGTTGTCAGTGCCATAAATGACTCACAGTTGACTGAGGGCCAGACCTACAAGCAAATGATGTCTCTTGTGCAGGTACTTTTTTCAGTACACCGTACCAAGACGACATGTAAATGAAAATACATGTATTTTGACATCTCTTCTTATGAAACGTATTATCATTAGTGTTTATTATTATTTAAAGATTGACAACGAATTGATTTCATGCAACAATATAGCATTTACAAGATCATGACATGCAATGTAAACGTATATATTGCCAGGGTAGCCATACAATTCGCTGGAAATTGATTTCATCTCCGCTGGGAATGACGATCGATCAGGACACTGGAAACATTACTTGGATCTCTGTCAACGGTAGATCTACTCCGTATGTCATCAAAGTTCGAGCACAGAATATTGTTGGGCACGACGATGTCCAGTGGTTGTTGTCAATTCCACTGTCCTACAGTGCTGTTGTTGACAGTCTGACCCCCTCTGGGACTTTGGCATACCCAACACAGATCCTTATATCTGGACATCTTGATGTGTCTGGAAGCACCTGGAATCTCACTTCAGCAGTAATTAAAGTCCAGTAAGTGTATTTATATATGGCAAGTGAGTCAAATGTTTTAAAAGGGTAACAATAATTCAAGTTGACATTCATTTATTGAAAGCATTCCTACAATGATACGTGTATTGTCCATTTATTAAGTAAACTTGAACGTGTTTCAGATAAGATCAAATGTCATATTTTGTTTCATTCTCAGAACTATATCAACGTTGTATACATATAATTGGACGTGTGTTTGCAACCAATATCCATATTTTGCCAAGCAGTATCCCGGCATTTGAATAATTATGCACTATTTAAATGTAGGATTAGAAATAAAGAGCTTACACGTGACCTAGAGACCCATGCTGAGGACACATCACCTTTCCTGTTTGACGTCATCTATTATCCCCAGCCAGACGACAGTGGCGAATTCAGTGTGGTATGTAAAGATGTTACAGCATTTATACCTTATCGGATTATTAGCAATAAATATATTGTATTCTGATTGAATAATTCATGTAAGTAGTTGATCTGAAGATATATATTCGGTATATCTGAGGTTTTTTTATTGAATTGCTTATGTTTTAACTTTTGTTTATGATCATTCACGTGTATTTCTAAAGATGTTTGTGTCTAATGGTTTCGAGATAATGTCAATGCGTGAACTGTCATAATATGCAATCTATGATATTTGAAGAGCGCAAGTCATCCAGCTGATACCGAGTTTCCGGAGCAAAAGAAGTGGCGAGTCCAGAGCATGATCTGTGATCCTAAGGTTGTGTCACTTACAGCTTACCTTGACACGCCAACAGCCACATTTCCTGCGGTTGCAAATCTTACAAATAATGGCTTCGGCTCACTGGATAACATTTCTGCGACGGTATGTTGACATTTACATGTTATTAGGTTTAGTGGAATTGAATATGGCCTCAAAATAGAATACCCCTGAATTGTTACCATGCAAAAGTATATTTTTGGAAATTGTTGCATTGAAAATATGCCTCACATGCAAACAGAGATACTTGTTTTGGGTTTGTTTAACGCCGCACTCAGAAATGTTCCAACTATTGGACGGTGGCTGTAAATGATCGAATCAGGACTAAACAATCCAGTGACTGACTTCATTTGGCATTGATGTACGCAATTGGGATTCGTTGACATGCATCAACCAAGCCAGTGAGTCTGACCACCCGATCCCGTTAGTCACTTTTACTGCACGCAAGAGTTGCTGAACACCTATTCTCTACCCGGATCTTCACGGGTCAGAGACGTACATGACAGAGGGTTCTCACAGAATACAAGAATCCCCAATCCCAGCATCCTGACTTCTTAATATGTGCACCTCTTATCTACTCGTCACTTTAATGTATGGAATAGTGCGTGGACTAAAAATAAAACGAATTAACATTTCAGATTGAGAGTTATTCCTACAGTGTTGATTCTGCATGGGTGTACTTCGGTGTACAACGCACAAGTAATATCACAGTGTTGGCTTCATTGTCAAGTGTACCATTTGATCTCACCATTGAACAGAAGCTGCCCTTACAAACAGAGTTGTATGTAGTGGTACGCAGTGTGCGGGGCACGAGGACAGTATTAAGAGTGCAACTAAATCTGAAAATACGACGACCCCTTCTCAAGTTATCTCCATCTAACATCAAGACAGCTGCTGCAAGAGGAAAACAAACAATTATCAACATTAATGTTACAAACACCGGTGAAGCAACAGCTAGAGATGTCAATGTTCAAATTCCCAGTGGATTACTTTTGAAAGTGGCAGCCATATCTAAGCGACGTTCTTCTTCCTCTGAGAGGATGGATCTAGAACCAGGAGAAACAGCGACAGTGGTTTTGGTCTACACTGTGCCCTTGGACAGACAGCTAGGTGAAACGGATGGTAGCTTGTTGATCACCTCTAACGACACTTCGTCTACGCTGACATTTACATTCTATATAACTTCTGATGACCGCCATGACATCCAGGTGATTGTGGAGGATGAGTACACCTACTTTGCAGCCGATAAACCACTGTTAGCTGAGGCCGTGGTGACCCTGACACAGCCACGGAGAATGTTTAGCAAGACTTTCATCACAAATGAAACAGGTATCATTCCTTATGTAGTACAGTGAAGACTCATTCAACTTTGTATCCCACTGAAGTGAGTGAGTGAGTTAGGCTTAACAGCGCTTTTAACAATATTCCAGTTATGTCGCGGCGTGTCAGCTTAATGCGTGAGGAAAGCCTGAAGTGATGCAGGTCTCAGGCGTTTACCACTTCGGTGAAACCCACGAGCACGGGTATAGTGCTGACAAACCTAGAAACATAATCGGGGCGAACCGGGATTCGGGCGTGCCCAAGGGACGCAACTCTGCATAGCGAATCGCGGCGCCTTAGACGACTGGGCCACCTGTGCCCCTATATCCCACTAAACGTATCAATAACACTTGATTTTAAATGGTTAAAAAACACTGGAAAGTGAAACCTAATGATAATTGACCCTCATCCTGGATCGACAAATGCTAATAATGATGACTTAATTATTATTTTTAATTCATCATTGTTGCACGTATTATACAAATAGTTATACTTCGCTTTCCTAAATATCATGGCAATAGGTGTTATATGTAACTCACATTTGTATATTGATACTTCTAAAAGTGAATGTTGCTATAATTGTCCCCCGCCACGCGAAAGCGCGAAGCGGGGGATATAGTATTCACGACCGTCCGTACGTACGTCCGTACGTCCCACCTGTTTGTTGCCGCGATATCTCAAGAACTAAACACTGGATTGTCTTCATATTTGGAACTATGGTGTATATACCAATTCCACAGACACCAGTCGGTTTTGGTGACCTTGACCCCATTTTCAAGGTCACAGCAGGCAAATCTGCTTTTGGAGTTGGAAAACGGTGTTGCAGCGATATCTCAAGAACTAAACACTGGATTGTTTTCATATTTGGAACTATGGTGTATATACAGACTCTGCAGACACCAGTCGGTTTTGGTGACCTTAACCCCATTTTCAAGGTCACAGCAGGCAAATCTGCTTTTGGAGTTAGAAAACGGTGTTGCCGCGATATCTCAAGAACTAATCGCTGGATTGTCTTCATATTTGGAACTATGGTGTATATACAGACATCGCATACACCAGTCGGTTTTGGTGACCTTAACCCCATTTTCAAGGTCACAGCAGGCAAATCTGCTTTTGGAGTTAGAAAACGGTGTTGCCGCGATATCTCAAGAACTAATCGCTGGATTGTCTTCATATTTGGTACTATGGTGTATATACAGGCGGGGGACATTTCGTCACTTTGTGACAAATACTTGTTTACAATTTAACCTTTTATCAAGGCATTTCAAACTTTGATGGGATCCATGCAGACCGGTATACACTGCAAGTTGAAGCAGCCAACCACACATCAAAGTCTGTCATCATCGTTGTGGACGGCAGTACCTCGACATACAGAGTCTTTTTACAACGTACAGCAGTAACATACACGTGGTCTGTCACAAAGACAACCTTCGAGGACAAGTACACCATTACACTAGAGTCAACATTTGAAACAAGGGTACATGCATATACAGTATCAATCATCGTAAAATCAAGACTGGTACCAATATATTGCTTCATGATCAAATAGAATGTGCAGATCTTATATATATGTTTTGATAACGTAAATCAAAAGTCAGGAGCTATTTGTATACTGTCTGTTACAGGTTCCTATGCCTGTTGTCACCGTAGAACCTGCTTCTGTCAACTTCATTCCGTACGAAGAAGGACGGTTAACGAGAATGGTGTTCACTCTGACCAACCATGGCTTTATCCGTGCAGACAATGTGAGGTTTTCACTACCAAACCATCCAACTTTACGCTTTGTGCAGGTAAATACTGATGGGATTAACATATATATCAATCAAATGTTAAGAAGACCATACACAGGCAGCATGGTATGACTTGTCATTTACAAAAACGAGACATAGTGAGGAGTAAGTTGCTAATAATGTCGCCTTGAACGGGATGTCAGTTATATCAAGTGATATAGGTCTTAGACATTTACCATATTTGTAAATCCCTTGACCCGAAGAAGGTGCTGACAAACACAAAATCATAACCAGGGCCAGTATTGGATTCGAGCCAACGATCATATCATCCTCGCAAACCTAAGGGACACACATCTGCACTCCAAATTCCTGCTCTTTTGACGGCTAGGCCACCCGTGCCTCGTTTATTTTAGGACGCCCCGTAAATAATCACTGTTATTAGAAACAGTCCATGTCTACATCAATCAAGAATTACTTAGAGGAATAGTTCTACAACAAGTGCTTGACAGGGATAAATCGCTTTATCCTATCTCCGTTTTTGGAACAATGGAAGTGATGGAATCAATAATTGAGCTCACGCATTTTACACATGTGGGAACACTAACACGGAACCGCGGAGTGATGAGCTATTATTTTAAAGAAAAGGTTTCCCCCACTGTCCCCTCATTCATTCGAAATATTTTAATATTATGTTGTTGTTCATTCAGAGACCATCGGCATTTTATTAATTGCAATGTTCATATTCCAGGTTGTCGACCCGCTCGGAAATTTGGATGCGAACACGAGCATAATTGTCCCTATCGATGTGCTGCCAAAGAAGATAAACAAACGTTCCTCATCAACAGTGTGTGGTTTTATTGTGCTCTATGACTATACGTGTGGATCAGTAAGAACAAATAGTGCGTCCGTGAGATTAACACGACAGTATCCAGGTCAGCCTCCTGCATCATGTGGTGGTGGAAGGGGTCGCAGAATAATAGGACAAGGGTCTGGAGGTAACGTTATGAAGGAGCGAGTTTGGTTAGACGCCTCTTTGGCAAGTGTTTCAGTCATGTCGCGATGTGTCAGTTTGATATGGGGGCACAGTCTAATGTTATACATGGCTTTCATGTGTATCACCTTGGTGAAACTCCGAACAAGGGCATGGCGCTGTCAAACCAAGAAACGGAACTCAAAATCTAATGTGTTTTTATATTTCCTTCTATCTGTGATCACGCTTTCATTCACTGACATATTCATGCTAAAACAAGACTTTGAATAAACGCTATGTTATATTTTTATGTTTTTTTGTAGGAGGTTGGTACCGTCTTCGTGGGTATGTTGGCACCAATGTACCCTGTGACTGTATAAAGGGGCTCATCGACAACTGCTATAAACCACTTCTTCGACTACCTTTTGAGCTGATACCAGGAGTTGGGTGCTTATTGGATATTTATGACATCTCTAAAATCGACAAGTCATCATCTGCAGTCTCTGTTGCCACAACAGTAGCAAGTTTTGCCCTAGATTGTGGATTTGGGCTTTCGTGTCCCGTCTGTCCCTTTCTTTTTAAATATCTCAAGTAAGTATACATACATGGTGGTTCCTGGTTAGAATAGACCCCAGGAATATATTCTTGTCGTAAGAAACGACTGTGGATTGGCTGGTCAATCTCGGCATGGGGCATTGCTCATGATATCAATCACTGATTTGTCTGGTCCAGACGTACATCATTGCAGGCCCCCATCGTATTTTAGATCAGATATTGCTGACAGTGACAAAAGACAAGTGACAGAGCCAAGAACGCCAGCTGTCGTTAAACATTGTGAAATGATCGCTTGAATGCTCACCCCCCCCCCCCCTTTTTTATTTCGAAAAAAATCTTTATTTCTGTATAAATTACCACCAAAGACAATAAATAGATCTTAGTTGTGCACCCCCCCTTTTAAATAAAGCTGTATCCGCCTCTGCTGTGTCCGGTCAGGGCCCTTAAGTATTATCTTAAGGCTTCGAATGAACGTAGACAAGGGCGTGACCGTCTGTTCATATCGTGTAACCCTAATCGCACGGTTGACATAACTCGCAACTCGATTGTGTTATGGCTTCGTTCTGTCATCAATCTGGCGTACCGGTCTCGGGGGTAACCGGTAGCGGGGTCAAACCCACACGAGATCAGGGCGCTAGCGGCAACATTTGCCCTACACTCGAATATCTCTGTTCACAGAATATTACGAGGTTGTTACTGGCGTTCTGACTCGGTTTTTGCCAATCATTACCCCAGAAAGGTTTCTGATGAAGACGTGGAGGGGGTGCACCGTCTTGGGCCGCTGATCGCGGCACAAGCGGTCATCTAGGGGGTGTGTCCAGCGTAATTCCAAACTCCACAGTTGTCAGTCCTTGCATGGTGGTCAATCTGGGTCGTCTTCAATGTTCCCACGCCGTGGGTACAGGAGTGGGGGTCCTGCAAACCAGCGCACTCACAGCACAGGTGAGGCGGCTTTTTGTGTGTTTTGTCCTTATTTGTATTTTGACAATTATGCATTTAATTGTCGGTCGTGTATTCCAACCTTGTGATACATGCTTACAAATACTGGAATCAGTTCACGCGCCTAATACATACGTTAAGTAGGCTTGCTCTGGGATATACAGTCTGAATGAAATTAATTTCCCTCTCTCGACTGTTTAACCTGATCTAAGATTTAGCTCACGCAGATACAGTGTTCTCATCCGCTGCGGCGATGAAATACCTATCCAGTGGGGCCGTTTGGAGTCACCAATCGTTTTGGCAATGACCATTGAGCCTTTCGGTATGCGCTTGACAGTGCTTTGGTATTCCTATAGGGTCACGCCTAGCTAGGTGCATGCGCATCAGTGCTTCCGCCTTGGTGTTTACTTCCGCTGGTCGGAAGGAACGCTAGCAGTCAGGATTCGGGTTGTAGGTGCTCCCCACCGCCTACTGTAGTAGACAGCCTCGGTATAACGGTGGTAACGTATTACTGAATGTAATTTGTAGAATTTTCCTATTCGGAATATTCTATAAGTAATACGTTACAACTGGGCTGCTGCCCGCCCGTCCGTCCCCCGAGCACTTGCTCTCGCAAGAGACAAGAGTGAAGGGTGTCACATGGCAGCTAGGTGGCTACGCACGTGCTGCATGAGGTAATTGAGATCTCTGTGGTAGATTTCGCTATAGCAGCAGTTGTGGGAGACAACAGCCTCGGTATAACAGTGGTAACGTATTATTTATAGAATATTCCGAATAGGAAAATTCTACAATTCTGACATAGACAAGTCAAACGTCCCAACAACTATTTAAATGTCCTGAAGAAGACAACTCAGATACACAATCCCATTCCTTCATACCATTCTGAGGCTCACCAACTGTCATTCAAATGATTCCAAACTCGCCATCTTGGTTATATTCATTTCCAAAACATAGTATTAGTTACCTGACATCAGTCGCTCAGTGTTGCACACACAAAAAGTATACATAAATCTATAATTGTTTTCAGTAAATATAATCGGAATTTACGAACAGGAACAAGCTTTCTCGGTACAAAGCCGCTCACCGTTGCCCTGTCAGCAGGTTTCTATTCGGAAAACCGATCTTCCCATACTCGCCGATGCCATCGGCAGGTTGGTGGAGAAGAGGGCAGTTTGGGAGTTAGCTCTACCAGAAATAACACCCGCGTTTTACTCCAGGATATTTCTCGTTCCAAAGGAGGACAGTGCCGAACTCAGAATGATTCACAACTTGAAATCGTTCAACGTGTTCTACCTGCACAGGCCGTCTAAGTTCAGAATGTTGAGCTTGGCGGACCTGAAAGCTCTGATCATGCCAGCCGACTGGCTCGCTTCGATCATCCTGAAGGATGCTTATCTGCATTTTTCGATTCACTCGGATCATCACAAGTATCTCAGGTTTGCCTTCAAGGCAGGCACTACGAGTGGGTTGTACTGCCATTCCGTCTTTCATCCGCTCCCTGGCTGTTCACCCGGTTAACCACCCCCATAGTGGGGTTCCTCCACCGGAGGGGTGTCCAGTACTTCGTGTACCTGGACGACTCGCTAGTAGCAAATCGAATGACGGACACCCTGTCACGCCATCTCGATTTCGCACGTCGGCTCTTGGAGCAATTGGGGTGGATTGTCAATCTCCCCAAGAGCGAGTTAACCCCCTCACAGAACTTGACGTTAATCGGAGGTCTCTTCAACACGGTGACCCATTGCCTCTTTGTCCCCCCAGACCGGTGGCACAAGATTCAGGCGATGATTGCCAAAGTCTTAGCGGTGCAACAGATTGTTCTTTTTGGGAACAGCTGTTAGGGTTACTTGTGTCACCCCAGGACTGCACCGAACGGCGTCGTCTCCAACTCCGCCCGCTGCAACGGTTTTTAATCCAGTTGTTAGCACAGGAGGAGAACAGTGCGACCGTCGCCCTCCTGGATTGGCTCCGACCGCATCTGGAGTGGTGGACGCTCCCTTACAATGTCTTATCAGGAGTCTCTATGCGGCCCTACCGGGCCACGTTGAACCTGTATACAGACGCCTCTCTAGTGAGCTGGGGTGTCCATCTAGAGGGGGAGGTGAGCTCGGGGCTGTGGTGCGTAGATGAACTAGGTCTTCACATCAATTGTCTCAAGTTCAAGGCAGTGATCAACGCAGTCAATCACTGGAAGCATCGTCTCGTCGACGCCCGGATCATGCTGGCGACCGACAACACGACGGTAGTGTCCTATGTGAACAAACTGGGGGAACCCACAGTCACTCGCTACTTGATCTCACGTTCGAGTTTTACGCTCTGGTGGACAGTGTCCCGTGCCAGATACGCGCCCGCCACATTCCAGGTGTGCGGAACGTACTGGCCGACGCTCTATCGAGGCCTCAGGATCCGAGCCCCACAGAGTGGATGCTGAACCCAGTAGTGTTTCAGTGGCTGTGCGAACGTTTGGGTCGTCCGAAGGTCAACCTGTTTGCAACACGGTTCAACAATCAACTCCCGTTGTTTGTATCACCAGTCCCGGACCAGGGCCATCGATCACGATGCTCTCGCGTTAGACTGGACGGGCTTGGACGCTTATGCTTACCCGCCGACAGAGTTGATACCACGCATTCTAAGCCGGCTCCGAGGAGTTCGCTGTCGAATGTTACTGATCGCGCCCATGTGGCCAAACAGATCGTGGTACCCCGACTTGCTGACCTAGGTCACGCAGTTGCCACTTCCACTGCCTGTGAGACCGGATCTCTTGATCCACCCTCACCCCTGTCACCTTTATCCAAACGCAGGGCAGTTCAATCTGCACGCGTGGATTTGTCACCCAGCGTCTGAGAAGGTTTTTCTTGTCGGGCTTCTCGGGCATACGTTAGTATGCATCGTGATTCTACCCAGAAGGTGTATAATGCACGTTGGGTTATTTTCACGAAGTGGTGTTGTAAACATCACATTCATTCGCCAGATAAGGTATCTGTGCAGGATATTGCTCGTTTTATGTCTCACTTGCGAGAGACCCGGAAACTCTCCGGGGGTTCCATTGCCAACTTCGTTGCTACAGTACGGGACGTTGCTATGGGTACCAGTCTCTCCAAAGAGCCGGTGATAGGGGTATTATCAAGGGTTTCAAAGAGCTAGATCTTAAGAAGGGCCGCCTTCGGGCACCGGCCTGGGATCTTTCCCTAGTGTTGAAATCACTTAAGGAAGCTCCGTATGAACCCTTGCATAGTGCTTCGTTCCGGCATGTGACTTGGAAAACAGCATTTCTCCTCTCCTTTGCCACGGCTGCACGTGTATCCGAAATTCATGCACTCGATGTCGCCAAGGTACGATTCGATAGGGGTGACGAAGAAGCGGTCCGCCTGGGCCTGCTCATGGGCTTCATCGCCAAGAATCAGAGAATCGGGCAAACGGAGAGAGAATTCACTGTAAGATCACTCAAAGAAATCTTACATCCTGCTGATACTGAGGACAGAGCGCTGTGCATGGGCGGATACAGGTGTGTGTGTGTGGGGGGGGATGCTCACCCCACCCCATCCCCCCGCACCCCACCCTTTTTTATTTTGAAAAAAGTCTTTATTTCTGTATAAATTACCACCAAAGACAATAAATAGATCTTAGTTGTGCACCCCCCCTTTTCAAAGAAGCTGTATCTGCCTCTGCTGTGTCCGGTCAGGGCCCTTAAGTATTATCTTAAGGCTTCGAATGAATGTAGACAAGGGCGTGACCGTCTGTTCATATCGTGTAACCCTAATCGCACGGTTGACATAACTCGCAACTCGATTGTGTTATGGCTTCGTTCTGTCATCAATCTGGCGTACCGGTCTCGGGGGTAACCGGTAGCGGGGTCAAACCCACACGAGATCAGGGCGCTAGCGGCAACATTTGCCCTACACTCGAATATCTCTGTTCACAGAATATTACAAGGTTGTTACTGGCGTTCTGACTCGGTTTTTGCCAATCATTACCCCAGAAAGGTTTCTGATGAAGACGTGGAGGGGGTGCACCGTCTTGGGCCGCTGATCGCGGCACAAGCGGTCATCTAGGGGGTGTGTCCAGCGTAATTCCAAACTCCACAGTCGTCAGTCCTTGCACGGTGGTCAATCTGGGTCGTCTCCAAATGTTCCCACTCTGTGGGTACAGGAGTGGGGGTCCTGCAAACCAGCACACTCACAGCACAGGTGAGGCGGCTTTTTGTGTGTTTTGTCCTTATTTGTATTATTACAGTTATGCATTTAATTGTCGGTCGTGTATTCCAACCTTGTGATACATGCTTACAAATACTGGAATCAGTTCACGCGCCTAATACATACGTTAAGTAGGCTTGCTCTGGGATATACAGTCTGAAGGAAATTAATTTCCCTCTTTCGACTGTTTAACCTGATCTAAGATTTAGCTCACGCAGATACAGTGTTCTCATCCGCTGCGGCGATGAAATACCTATCCAGTGGGGCCGTTTGGAGTCACCAATCGTTTTGGCAATGACCATTGAACCTTTCGGTATGCGCTTGACAGTGCTTTGGTATTCCTATAGGGTCACTCCTAGCTAGGTGCATGCGCATCAGTGCTTCCGCCTTGGTGTTTACTTCCGCTGGTCGGAAGGAACGCTAGCAGTCAGGATTCGGGTTGTAGGTGCTCCCCATCGCCTACTGTAGTAGGCAGCCTCGGTATAACGGTGGTAACGTATTACTTAATGTAATTTGTAGAATTTTCCTATTCGGAATATTCTATAAGTAATACGTTACAACTGGGCTGCTGCCCGCCCGTCCGTCCCCCGAGCACTTGCTCTCGCAAGAGACAAGATTGAAGGGTGTCACATGGCAGCTAGGTGGCTACGCACGTGCTGCATGAGGTAATTGAGATCTCTGTGGTAGATTTCGCTATAGCAGCAGTTGTGGGAGACAACAGCCTCGGTATAACAGTGGTAACGTATTATTTATAGAATATTCCGAATAGGAAAATTCTACAATTCTGACATAGACAAGTCAAACGTCCCAACAACTATTTAAATGTCCTGAAGAAGACAACTCAGATACACAATCCCATTCCTTCATACCATTCTGAGGCTCACCAACTGTCATTCAAATGATTCCAAACTCGCCAGCTTGGTTATATTCATTTCCAAAAGGCATAGTATTAGTTACCTGACATCAGTCGCTCAGTGTTGCACACACAAAAAGTATACATAAATCTATAACTGTTTTCAGTAAATATAATCGGAATTTACGAACAGGAACAAGCTTTCTCGGTACAATTTGTGAAAGTACACGGAAATCAATATTTCAAGTGTAAAGGAAGACAAACAAAACATTCTTCCGGATATTGTTTCTTTGTTACAGGGTTCAAGTAAACACCACAACACAAAAAAACTATGCTTATTGTAAGACAAGACTAAACTGGAATTGCAATCAGGCTCTGAGACTTCATTTATCGTTGCTCAGGCTGTCAGCCACTGGTTTGCCTTGTTTAAAGTCAATTATTTATACACCGCCATGCTATTGCTCTAATAATGTTTTACTGTGGCGTCAGGCAATATTCACTTCATTCATCCACCAACATGTTACTATTGGGCTTTCATTCCAGCTGCCTTGATGGTCTCTCACGAACTTGTAAGAGAAGTGGACGAAGGCGGCGAGAGGTCAACTCCGAGCTTGTGCTTGAAGTGGAGAGGTCCAGAAACTATCTCAAGAACTTTGTTGATGTTTCAGTTGAGATATTCGGTAATCTCAGTGTGTAAGTTGTTTCAAGAACTTACATCAAGTCTCTATTTCGGTGTTTAGTCATCTCAGCATAAACGTAATCGCAAGAACTCTCCTGATGTCTCTATATATTTGGTAATTTCAGCATGCAAGATCTTTGTTGATGTCTTTATATTGAGAGGTTTTTTATATTGGCACTGATATTGGTATTTCATATCAGCATATATGTGATCATATATTCCAGTGTTGACATTAAAGGCGAGTGGAAACAGGCCTTCTTTAAAGGAGTGTCCGAAAACAGCCCGTCACAGTACCTCCTGGATTCCAGTGAGGTTGACATCATATTACTTTTGGTGGTTGAAGACGATCAAACTATTTTAAATACATTTCTACAACGATGGAACAACACATTTTCTTCGTGGATAGACGGAAGATCAGGTCCGCCACAATCAAATGTTATGTCACTGAAAGATGTGAGGACCCTTGGAGTCACCTTCATTGAAAATACAAGGACCGTTAAAGAGGTAGTAATACTTCATTTGTACATTCTTTCAAATAGCTCTTCGTTTATATCCAAAATATTTATGAATATAGCTCAATTTAAATGGAAGTTTACTTGGCATCTCACAGAGAAATCGCTATCGTGTCTCTTATGGCACAGAACTATACAATGTGGTATGGTGTGTGTGTGGACGAATAGAAATTTTAAATAAGATATATAAATTTGATCCCATTGTAAACTTAAGTGAATGTGTCCATCCTAGTTCTTTGACATTAGATTGCGTTGCTTCTTGAATCAATCAGATGAAACAATTCCGCTTCATTTCTTTACAATGGCGATTCTGAGAGTTCGATTTTAACAAACGACAACCAACACAAAACAAAACATCCTTCGATGGTACTCCCTTTGGTTGCTGTAGATGCTATGACTCTCAGAAACGAGCTGGTGTATAAATATCCACAATATAATGGTGCGGTCTGGGTTGTGTACATTCGGCAAAGTTCGTTTTCGAGATACAGAACTCATTTGTGCTGGTCTGAATGAAATGTCCTGTTGCTTGAGTTGCTGATCAGAAACTCTGGAGGTGTCGTCGGACCTTCTCCTAATGTATTTTCCTTGTATTGTTTCAGAGAGGATTTTCAAGTGTTTTCCAATATTTTGGTTACATAATGACAGAATACAAGAAGAATGTCCAAGAGGTGAGTAAAAAATATTTAACTAGTCTGGTTCAGCAGGTAATCTTTTTTGTCATGAGAAATCTAGGTCAGGTTTAGGTTTGTCATCACACCACACCTAGCTCGAAAATCATAGACGATAATACCGCAGGGTTTCATGGCTCTGTAGTATTATATTTACGTTTAGCAATTTTGAAGACACAATTACATAAAGTCGTGATTGGGACCTGATTAAGTGTGACGACATTTTGTAAATGGCAAGTGTAAGAAATTGTTATGTGCTTGTTATATGGAATATGCGGTCTTTTGACTGATAATGTCGTGTTATACATGTATTGAAAATGTGAATCAGCGCGTGGAGAGGTGAATATACGTGTCTGATATTATATCATGAGTTTGGAAATTACTCGATTCTGATTGGTCAAACAGAGGTTGTCAAATCACAATAAATCCCCTCTGATTAAACAGTGGAAGCTAATATTTGATAGAATAGTTCTTTTCAGTCATTGTCGGTAGGCATATCAAAATAATAATTATAGGTTACAAAAATGCAAAGTTGCGGTTACTACAATATTCAAAGGATGTGTGGCAATACATGTCGTTCAGAAATCACGATAGAACTCTACAAAGAGAATGTATTTTACGTTTTGGAGAGAATACAGAGCTTGGATTTTGGTGATTTTCTATTTACGACTGTGGCTGTCATAATGGTGACGTGCGATGTAGAACAGAAGCTTTGCAAGGCTTGCTTAGTTTTTTTTTAGGCGTGCCCACCTCATGTTAGTTTACGAAGTTGATCACCTGCTTATGTGCTTTCATTGACTGTCATATGTTCGAGTAAAGTATTACTATGTGTGACAAACTGCTTGAGCATATACAGCACCATATTTCGTTTAAATGCTGTAGTCGGTGATTCCGTTATTCAGATTCTATGTTTTCAAAGCATTCGGTTCAAAATTCAATTTAGCGCCGTTACATCTACAGGTAACCTAGCTCTACATAGAAAAAAACAGTATGTTTATCTCCTAAATGTATTTATTCAAAGAAAAACATCGTGTATATGTTGCATCATAACATAGAAACATGAGTATAAGGAAAAGCTCACAGTATTACCCGGCTCTCGCCACAAGGAGGTTGCTCTTCTAGATTGCCAATTGCTTTTTATTGTGGGTGTTGTAGGTAGGGAGTTAAAGTGTTGTTGGTTTTTATTTGATAACTCGACTTCTGAAGGACCGTGGACATGGCTACCCAGCGTATACGCTGCCTCGCTGTAATTAGACCGGAACTGCATCCACCCCACAGCAGAACATATAGCTGTGCTGCTGTGGTGCAGTGGTGAACAATAGTGCTTCAGTTTGCTGCTCAAAATGAACTATGCCTTGAATTTCGATGTTTGAAACGTTATCAATCCGCACACCTTACAAAAACTTGCCATGGCTTTTTCGGTTTCTTTCTCAGAAAAGCTAAAATCCCAAAAACAGTAATAATTATTCTTCATATTTACATAGAGTACCATGTTGCCATGTTCAACACATGTACAAACTGAAGGTAGAATTGATTTAAGAAAAACAGTTTACATTTATCAACATATGCAGTAGTTGTCCAAGATTCTCAATAATGGAATTTGATGGAGACCTTTTATCAATACCCTGTACAATGCAGGCATAATATCTTTGTGAACCCTCAAACAAATCAGCATGTACGTTGATCCTTGACGTAAAAAAGTTGTTCACATTCATAGAGCCTGGTTTTGAGTATCATTCTGAGCCATATTGTCACACTCGCAATTGGATAAAGATCATAGCTATTTAATCCTGAAGGTTTTAAGGAGTTAATGTTTGTCTTGCTTTCTCACAGTACTCTTTTACCTGTTGTTTTGGGCGCTGTTTTGACTCTCACCCAGTGTGGAATCTGTTTCAGCGTTAAATCGAAACTGACTATTCTCTCGCGTTAACATTTTCACCATATACCGTAGACTAGGTGGTAGTAATGTGTTTCTAGTTATACCCTTGCGTTTTGTTTGGTGAACACTCATAGCGGTGTGTTAATCCGGATCATATCTCTAAAACAAATATGTATTCTTTCATGAAACTTTGCACAGATAGGGACCAGGTTGTCATCTGGTGCCTCTTGCTATTTAGGGACTTTTTGAAATTATATTTCTTCCGTTTCCATGGCATCAAGTTTGACTTTCACTCTCTTTATATTGGCGTGTACCTTCCATTTTATTGTTTTGAAGGTTCAATAACTACTCTTGTATACGGACAGACATATTAGACGGAAATTATCTCAACAGGCTGGACTTGAAGTAACAGTCCGAGGATTTGTTCAATAGAATCTATGGGGGCCGAGGGGATTTGTTTCCTTCTGATACTTTTGTAAAGCATGTTTCTTATTGATTATACGTTGTACTTCTCGTTCTTAAGGCAAAACCAGAAGAAGGAATTTGCGCTAAAGTACGAATACGGATTACACAGGACCTTGTCTTGACCAGGGATGCTTTCCAGGCTCGATTAGAAATAGAAAATGGCGAAGAAGGATCTCTGGAAAAAATTGATGTGGACATTTTCATAACTAGAACAGGGGGAAATGGATCTCTTGAAAATAACCTTTCCTCTATTGGTAAGATCACGTGAAGTCAGTTTTGTAAATCTCATGTTTATTGTAAAACATGGTTTAGGTAATAACATTAATAGCATCTTAAAGACGAATAAGGAAAGAAATACTCTTCCAACTCATTGTCAAATAAATCAAGTTGGTAAGCAACGGTAGTTTGCAAATATCCATTGATGTTTTGTTTCACATTATCACTGGACTATTTTGCTTGTCTTTTCAAAACAGGTCAGCCAAAGTTAGAGGGAATCAGTGACGTGTCTGGAACTGGAACATTAGCCACCGGGGTCAAGGGTTCAGCTGACTGGTTCATTGTAGCTTACACAGGTGCAGCTGTGGATGAGGATGTCAACTATGATGTTGGAGGAACTCTATCATATTTTGTGGCTGACAAGGAATTCAACGTCCCGCTTCTACCAGACACAATAACTGTGACGCCAAATCCAAGTCTAACACTTGCCTACTTCCATGAAAAGTATGTGCAAGGCGATGACCCCATGACGACCCAAGTGGAACCCGTGGTTCCGTTCCCCCTTGCAGTAATGGTAACTAATAAGGGTAATGGGATTGCACGACAAGTAAAGATATCCTCTGGGCAACCAGAAATCATAGAAAATGAAAAAGGATTGCTTGTGTCGTTTAAAATCACCAGGGCACAACTAGGGATGGAATCCATTCAACCATCACTAACTGTTGACTTTGGTGACATCGTCAGCCACGAGACCAAAACAGCTCGATGGTGGATGACGTCAACACTTAAGGGCAGGTTTTACAACTATTCGGCCACATTTGAAAATATAAATCCACTGGGTGATCCCCAGCTGTCTGTGTTTGATTCTATATCTTACCATGACATGATTCATCAGGTTAGAATTGATAGCATAGGTGCAGATGGCTTGGATGATTTTCTTGTCAATGACGTTGTTGACAAGGACAATCTCCCCGACAGACTCTATGACAGCTCTAATGGGTTTTATTCATATCCAGTAGATTCTGTATCAGCAATTGGATTTTCTCAAACAAAGGAGGAGTTCAGAGGAAGGAAGAAATATGTGTATGTTGAGATCTTGGTTCCACAAGTGAATGAGTCGTGGGTATATGCTCGGGTCATCAATAACATAACGCGAGATTTGTCATCAGAATCACTGCTTAAAGTTACTAAAGATGATGGTAAGAATATACTTATTCCTCAGAATTCCTGGCTTACTTCTTATTATGAGAACAAATTTTACTTCCATCTGTTTGACAACAATAACCACCAGTCTAACGTATCTGTTTATAATGCTGTGTTTGGTCCGAAAAATATATATCCACCAGTATTTCAAAATATACCACACACTTTAGAAATATCACCCCGTGAGCCAAACAGTGATATCCTGACCGCGAAAGCAACAGATCTAGACATGAATAATGTATCATACAGCATTGAAAATGGTAAAACATTTTCTGTTGATGGGCAATCCGGGGTTGTTAGAAATATAGTTCCTCTAATAGACGGGGACAGCTTCAACATCACAATTCTTGCATTCGACAATGGTATTCCTATTAATTCAGCAAGTACGAACATAACAATTACGGTATCTACATTAGTATCTACAGAGAACACACCTTCTATCACCATGACTAAAGATATAACATCGAAAACAGCTCCTACTATGCCATCAGTTTCTAACTACACAAGCGGCCTTACTCCTGCTTCACCCACACACATTTCTCGTGAAGAAACATCATCATTATCAACATCAACACCATTCACTACTGGCACAAACATTGCTTCCACACCAGACTCACCTGTGGCAGGGCGTGGTGTGATTCCTGCCGCCATGTCCTTGTTACTTGGAGCCTCGCTCTTGGCTTCATTTTCAGTTCCTATTTAATTGTTAACTCGATGTTGTCATTCCATTTACGTTTTGTTTTGCATCAATGTTTCTAGAAATATGTCAACATGAGAGCCTTCGAAAATAAATGAAATTAAAACGTATCTGTCTATTGCAATGAAAAGTGGACAGATATTAATTTGGTAGACATAGATATTATCAAGCTATTATCATTTCAGTTTATTCCTATCATACGACAGCTGCTGGCTGGAGTAGCGCTTCTAATCTCTTCTGACATCGTAAATTTTCAGTGTGTGATGACTTTGTACATATTTATGTTTACATTTTATTTTTATTTTATCTTCTTACTACTCTAACAAAAACACATTAAATGTGTGGCGTACGTATATATTATTTCTACTGTAGGTGTATACATAGGTATATATGACTATGTTCGAATGCTTAAGTGGACAGAAACGAGCAGAAATAACACAACCACAGAGAACGGTTACCGTTGAAAGGTATCAAACAGCTGTACGTTTGTGGGTGCAGTATGAAGTGGGTGCCTGTGGGTTCCGACGTACGCTCAAATTTCCTCGTAACAGTCCCACGTGACGACATCACGCTGAAGTTCTGCAACGGTGTAATTGACATTGTTTGAACCCATTCGTGTAGCGGATCCTGTCCAGTGATGAGGTGCGGTGTCCACTGCAAAGGACAGATGATAGAGCAAGGATGAGCAGACCCGAGCATACACGACATGACCAAAGGTACACCCTCACTGAGTACAAAAGGCTTGTCATCTTGTTGATGAGTGTGGTCATGTGTTCAGCAATCATTATGTTTCTAAGGAGCATTGCCCGTGGTGGGCACATCCTGTATTGAACTTATGCTCAACCTGATGAGGAAACATAAGCTGGAACGTGGGTGTACACATCCTCATTATGTTTGTATATATTTTACGATGTGTGTTTGAAGAGTATATTTATGTGGATAATACGTTGTCACAGCTGCGTACAACTTCGTATACTAGTAAAACACTGTGCTTTTGGTTAACTCATGTCCATTGCCGAAAATTTTGGATTGTTTATTATTAATTTCATCATGTAAATAAGAATGGGATAGCGCATTATTTTACCCGTTTTAATACATATTAACTTGTGTTGTGTTTGTTGGACAATTTCATTCGTATTTGAAGTGTAAACATAGTAATACTTTCATATATCAATGTCAATTGGATTTATCCTACATTTACAATGTCCTACCGGGTCTTGATCCCCCCTGATATAAGCCACAACCATATTATTTGATACTGAAACACGTTTCAGTATGTATTTTATTTTGCACATCTCATGATGTTTGAGGGGGCACGGATGGCCCAGTCGTCTCAGGCACCACGATTCGCTGTGCAAAATTGCGTCCCTTGGGCACGCCAGAAACCTATGATTGTGGGTTCGAATCCCTGTTCGCCCCGATTATGTTTCTAGGTTTGTCAGCACCATACCCGTGCTCGTGGGTTTCACCGAAGTGGTAAATGTCTGAGACCTGTATCACTTCGGGCTTTCCTCCCACATTAAGCTGACACGCCATGATGTAACTGAAATAATGTTAAAAGCGGCGTTAAACCCACTCACTCACTCACTCATAATGTTTGATGTGACGTACCTTTGATGTGATTTTGTATTTTGTATGGGGACTAGTTATTTTTCAGCTTCAGCTGACGCCTAAATATGTATGTTTTTTTAAACTCCTAGCATTAATGTAATCTTTGTGGCAGACACTTTTCTTCGCAAAAGTCTGAAGCATAATAACATTTTTCTGGGACAATTTTATAATATAATCCCAGTCCCACCCTCCTCCCGAATATCAAATGGCTGGCCCCTAACATACAACAACATGGACAAATACTGTTAACAAGCATATATGAATTTGTTGTAATTTGGTGTAAGGGAATATAGTGGAATCCTTCCAATTTCCTTGACCTTATTGGTCATCATTTTGTATAGGAAATTAAAAGAGAAATCATTGTTGAAGAGGATTATTTTTTTTTCTTTCTGAGTTATGATGCTGCCATAATAGATGTTGGTTTACAGTTTTGATTGAGTGTTGTTGCTTCATTTGCCTGAACTTGATTTAATAAACGCTTTGATTTATCTTGTTGGTCATCATTTCATGCATGAAAATGTAATACCTCATGCTTTTGTCATTTAATAACAAGTAAGTGCAATGTCCTCTATTTCATGTTTCACTTATGTTAATTCGAAATTAATTAAGCACTTACAAGTAGGGGCGGTCGGGTAGCCTGGTGGTTAAAGCGTTCGCTCGTCACGCCGAAGACCCGGGTTCTATTCCCGAAATGGGTACAATGTGTGAAGCCCATTTCTGGTGTTCCCCCGCCGTGATATTGCTGGAATAATGCTAAAAGCGGCGTAAAACCATATTCACTCACTCACTTACAAGTATGTATTACTCTTGTACTGGTGCAGATAAAAATACGAAAAACAACAACGTTCGTCCATTTCATGACATGACACTAAACAGTATTACCAAGACGTATTCTCATGTTCAAAGTTTCTCTGTTCATATATTCAAACGCCAGTGATTGTGGTTTCTAATTTTAACACATTGGTAATTATAACTGGCCCCAATACATGATAAGAGGCAATTCATCATTTCAATATACTATCAGAAGCATTGTGCAGAGCTACACTCCATCCCCATCTGGATCTAAACAGTTTATTCCTGGAAAGTTTCATATTAATTCGCTGCATTAAAGGGGTTACACATTGACAATTGGCACCTTTCACTTTGGCACGTATTTACATTTATGAAATATATATGTTTTAGTCTGTTTTCAGTCGTACAAATGGGTATCTCTCATACCCTCACGTCTAGTCGCACGTTTAGAGGAAGCCAGAAGCTGGAATGTAAACATTAAACTTGTTTCCGTCCGGTTGCGCACGCACCTCCCTATGACATGTCACAAATCTCTCAGCGCGCCTCTGCGCTCGTCGCTCGAGAAAGTCTTTCGCGGTAGACTGCTAGTTTGTATTCTACTAGTACTTATCGCTTATCTACAGTTGTTCTAATAAAGTCATAATGTGTCTTACCTGTAGACTCCTGGGTCCACTTGCACAAAGCGATCTTAGCGCTACAATTATTGTAAATCCTTAAGATCGCGATCTTAGGCTTACGCTACAATATTGTCATCCACTTGCACAAAGCGATTGTAGGTTAAGATCATTGTAAGCTACAATCGAAACTTACAATTGGTCCAGACCAATCTTAAGTAGCTAAGATCGTTGTAGTTCCTGACAAAATGGCGTGCAAGACAGGGCCAGTTTCACATTAATAATCTGCTTTACGATCAAACACTGCCTATTTATTTTGTTAGATTTTATGATTCGAATCGACACTTCAACAACACGAAGACCGCACCACAGATTTAACGTCAAAAATATCGTTAATTGCGATAGTGAACCACATAACTATCGAGTCGATAGTTAAAAGTACTATTCCCACCCGTGTCAATGCTGAAAGAAGTCTAAAACAACATACATTCAAGGGAAGGATAAAACCTAAGTCGTCTGCAAGCGATTTGTAACGTCCGTGACCTTTAAGATAAATCAAGGGCAGCTAATCATAGTTTATATTCTAGATGGGAGTGGTTTCCCTTTGTATAAGTATCGTAGAATCTTCCTTGCCCAGTTAGTGTATTAATGTTGTAGAACCGCCGAGCTCCCCTTGTATATCTTTTGGGTCACATTCGTGTCAGTTATTTTGTCTTTAGTTTATCATTAAATAATCTACAAGTAAACACAAGTTGAAGTGCAAAATCATACGTTTATATCCAATATCCAGTCACGAGCGGTTGTAATATCTGAATTTATAAGAAACTAATACAAATATTCATCAAACAAGCAAATACACATGATGAGACATTTGAAATTTGTGTAAAATATCCCATAAATAGCAAAAGTAAAATTCACACTTTTTAAAAAATATAATTAATACCAAATGAATATATATTAAACAACTTCTTTCTTGAAACATTATTCTTATTTCCCGTACATGCATTCTTGAAATCTCCCGTCTTACTGTGTTTTGAAAAGGTTGTCATAACATCCTTTGTAATAGCGGCAAAACTAAAACATGAAGGATATACATGTATTTAGGATTTTACGGAAAGCTCCCCCAAATAGATGACGATCATACATTTACCTGTTATGTTATTTGGACATAGAGATCTATTATTATTTTCTTTTTTTACTTTCATAATAAGAATGTCACTAAATCTATATGCCAACATTCTAATTATAGTTTCCTTCAAATAGTTGAGACCTTTCAACTGTGCAAGGTGCGTGGAGGGAGGTACGTGTTGTATGTCGTAACCGGTTCTACACGTTGTATGCGCAGCAAGATTTGCGCGTTTGCAGACAACCATAGACAGAAGTCTAGTTTAAGATATTTGTACCTCCACCATTGAAGATTTCAATCTTAGTTAAGATCGCGATCTTAAATCCAAGCCGTCTTACAATCGCGTTAAGATCGGTTTGTGCAAGTGGAATAGGACAATTGTAGGGTGATTGTAAAGTTGATTTTAGCCGCCTAAGATCGATTGTAACTAAGATTGTTCTGTGCAAGTGGGCCCTGGGTCCACTTGCACAAAGCGATCTTAGCGCTACAATTATTGTAAATCCTTAAGATCGCGATCTTAGGCTTACGCTACAATTGTCATCCACTTGCACAAAGCGATTGTAGGTTAAGATCATTGTAAGCTACAATCGAAACTTACAATTGGTCCAGACCAATCTTAAGTAGCTAAGATCGTTGTAGTTCCTGACAAAATGGCGTGCAAGACAGGGCCAGTTTCACATTAATAATCTGCTTTACGATCAAACACTGCCTATTTATTTTGTTAGATTTTATGATTCGAATCGACACTTCAACAACACGAAGACCGCACCACAGGTTTAACGTCAAAAATATCGTTAATTGCGATAGTGAACCACATAACTATCGAGTCGATAGTTAAAAGTACTATTCCCACCCGTGTCAATGCTGAAAGAAGTCTAAAACAACATACATTCAAGGGAAGGATAAAACCTAAGTCGTCTGCAAGCGATTTGTAACGTCCGTGACCTTTAAGATAAATCAAGGGCAGCTAATCATAGTTTATATTCTAGATGGGAGTGGTTTCCCTTTGTATAAGTATCGTAGAATCTTCCTTGCCCAGTTAGTGTATTAATGTTGTAGAACCGCCGAGCTCCCCTTGTATATCTTTTGGGTCACATTCGTGTCAGTTATTTTGTCTTTAGTTTATCATTAAATAATCTACAAGTAAACACAAGTTGAAGTGCAAAATCATACGTTTATATCCAATATCCAGCCACGAGCGGTTGTAATATCTGAATTTATAAGAAACTAATACAAATATTCATCAAACAAGCAAATACACATGATGAGACATTTGAAATTTGTGTAAAATATCCCATAAATAGCAAAAGTAAAATTCACACTTTTTAAAAAATATAATTAATACCAAATGAATATATATTAAACAACTTCTTTCTTGAAACATTATTCTTATTTCCCGTACATGCATTCTTGAAATCTCCCGTCTTACTGTGTTTTGAAAAGGTTGTCATAACATCCTTTGTAATAGCGGCAAAACTAAAACATGAAGGATATACATGTATTTAGGATTTTACGGAAAGCTCCCCCAAATAGATGACGATCATACATTTACCTGTTATGTTATTTGGACATAGAGATCTATTATTATTTTCTTTTTTTACTTTCATAATAAGAATGTCACTAAATCTATATGCCAACATTCTAATTATAGTTTCCTTCAAATAGTTGAGACCTTTCAACTGTGCAAGGTGCGTGGAGGGAGGTACGTGTTGTATGTCGTAACCGGTTCTACACGTTGTATGCGCAGCAAGATTTGCGCGTTTGCAGACAACCATAGACAGAAGTCTAGTTTAAGATATTTGTACCTCCACCATTGAAGATTTCAATCTTAGTTAAGATCGCGATCTTAAATCCAAGCCGTCTTACAATCGCGTTAAGATCGGTTTGTGCAAGTGGAATAGGACAATTGTAGGGTGATTGTAAAGTTGATTTTAGCCGCCTAAGATCGATTGTAACTAAGATTGTTCTGTGCAAGTGGGCCCTGGGTCCACTTGCACAAAGCGATCTTAGCGCTACAATTATTGTAAATCCTTAAGATCGCGATCTTAGGCTTACGCTACAATTGTCATCCACTTGCACAAAGCGATTGTAGGTTAAGATCATTGTAAGCTACAATCGAAACTTACAATTGGTCCAGACCAATCTTAAGTAGCTAAGATCGTTGTAGTTCCTGACAAAATGGCGTGCAAGACAGGGCCAGTTTCACATTAATAATCTGCTTTACGATCAAACACTGCCTATTTATTTTGTTAGATTTTATGATTCGAATCGACACTTCAACAACACGAAGACCGCACCACAGATTTAACGTCAAAAATATCGTTAATTGCGATAGTGAACCACATAACTATCGAGTCGATAGTTAAAAGTACTATTCCCACCCGTGTCAATGCTGAAAGAAGTCTAAAACAACATACATTCAAGGGAAGGATAAAACCTAAGTCGTCTGCAAGCGATTTGTAACGTCCGTGACCTTTAAGATAAATCAAGGGCAGCTAATCATAGTTTATATTCTAGATGGGAGTGGTTTCCCTTTGTATAAGTATCGTAGAATCTTCCTTGCCCAGTTAGTGTATTAATGTTGTAGAACCGCCGAGCTCCCCTTGTATATCTTTTGGGTCACATTCGTGTCAGTTATTTTGTCTTTAGTTTATCATTAAATAATCTACAAGTAAACACAAGTTGAAGTGCAAAATCATACGTTTATATCCAATATCCAGCCACGAGCGGTTGTAATATCTGAATTTATAAGAAACTAATACAAATATTCATCAAACAAGCAAATACACATGATGAGACATTTGAAATTTGTGTAAAATATCCCATAAATAGCAAAAGTAAAATTCACACTTTTTAAAAAATATAATTAATACCAAATGAATATATATTAAACAACTTCTTTCTTGAAACATTATTCTTATTTCCCGTACATGCATTCTTGAAATCTCCCGTCTTAC